TGAACCAATTGAAGTATCCGGACCGTCTTCAAGGGTAGCCCCACGTAGAGTGCGTTACAGAAGTCAAGGCGGGAAGTCACCAGCGCATGTGTCACTGTCGCCAGGCAGTCGTACTCCAGGTAGGGGCGCAGCTGATGGATCAGCCGAAGCTGAAAGAAAGCGCTCCTCGCCACCGCAGTCACCTGAGCTTCCAATGAAAGCTCTGGGTCGAGGAGCACTCCCAGGCTGCGGACCTTGTCCCAAAGAGGGAGTGCAACCCCATTCAGGACTAGGTTCAATTCACCCTCTCCGAAGCCCAATCCGCCAACCAACAGGACCTCCGTCTAGTCTGGATTGAGCTTCAGTTTAAGCTGAGGGGGGAAATAATATTTTTGTCAAACCAACCAGTGTCTGAAAGTTGAAGTGTAGTATTGGTGCTGTGTATATGTGTGTTCTTCTCTGTATTTGGGATAAACAGGAAAGTGCATTATTCCAATAGGAAAATGAAATCCTAACATGGGTCTCTAGTGCCTTGGCTACAGTTTTCTGACATAAAATGTTTTTTCTTTTAAGAATCCTCGTGAAGCAGATGCAATGACAAAAGTGCAAGCAGAGCTGGATGAGACCAAAGTCATCTTGGTAAGGGACAGCAGCTGTCTTGCCCTGGGGCATTTGGGAATACTGTAAATATGACATGGCTTTGATGTGGAAGCACTTCTGAATAAGCAAGCAGATATGCTCTTTTGTGTGTACTGTGGACATAAACTGGACTGAGTTTGGGGAAGCTTTGTTCTTGCCCCTTCAAAGGTGGGGGAGAAGGGAAGATGCACTGTCTCCTGGGTTCTTATGGCATCATAGTTGAGAGTGGGATATTCTGCAGGATAGTTGGGGCAGCAAAATTTATAGGCATCAGCTTAAGAGACTTTTCCCACAAGCTCAGAATGCTACAGATCCCTTTCCTTAGACTAAATGTATGAGAAGCATTGGGATTTTCTTAATTGGAGACATGTACACAATTCTTACCAAGTAATGCTAGTAGGCAACTTTCACCCCACTTGACATTTAAGTATCTAAGTAGTGGTTCCTATACTTAGGTACTGCAAAGTCAGATCTAAGTATTGTTCTTGCCACACTTTTGTACACAGCCAACTTTCCTACACTTCTGAAAATATGCATAAATAGCTATAGAATGCCTTTCTGCTGTCAAAGCATCCAAACTCGGACAGTCGGGCAGAATTTGCTTTCTCAAACCACCTATGCTAATGTGGGTAGCTGTGTACCACAGCAGCTGCTTGAAATATTTTTAAAATTTAGTTTTAGCATACCTGAAACTACTTCATATTCTCAATAGTCACACTTATTCCATGATGTTTCCTCTCTTTCTCATTTCCTTTTCCATGTTTTTGAACTTAATAAGCTGCCAGGTAGAAATGAATGAAGCTGAAACTACTTAAATCAGGGGCAGCTCAATTGCCTTCCACTGGTCTAAGCTGACTAGGGTGTATTCTGTCTTCAGCAACTTCTCAAAATAGGGTAGGAGAAATCCTCTGTTGGATCATAAATATAATTTGCTGAATTGGCTTAGGCCACTGGAGCAGATTTAAGAAAAGACAATTCTAAGTCTACCAATTGTTTTTAAAAAACCATAAAAGTCTATTAGACAACCAAAATAAATTTAAATAACTTAAGACAGTTAATTTTCTCCCAAGTTGGCTTTATCTTGTCATAGTGCAAACTTACGACACTGATTCCTTTCTTGTAATCTTTTGAAGCGGGGGAAGACATTCCAAACTTTGACAATACTGAGGTATATTAGACCCCTTCCATTATTTTACTTAGTGTTAAACTATGTTTTTCAGTTGTCATACTAATGCTTCATTCTTACTCTGTTACGCTTGGAGCCATTTTATAATCATTCATAATCTTTCTAATTAAAAATTTAAAGGGTCCATTGCACCCCAGGCACAGATGGATGCTGTAAAAAAAGACATGTGTCAAAATAAGTTAGTCATACTTGTTGTCTGCTACATACTGAAAGTGTTTTACAAACAAAATATAATCAAACTCCATAAAATAAGTATCTGGAATAAACTATAAATTGGAGAAATGACCAGTAATAAGACTGCCAGATGGGCCTCTGTGGGCAAAAAATGCCATAGAGAATGAGCCAAACCTAAGAAGGGCCTATGGTGTCGCTTCATTTAGTAAAAGGGTGGGGGCTTGAAGTAAGATGTTTTCTCTGAGTGGGTCGTACAGCAAAAGCACTCCTTTCACATGAACATTCCTTTTCAAAATTAATGTGAGAGTGGAAAGAGATTAATAAATATTGTAACAGAAGAAGAAAATGAGTCTTGGTCTTTGCAACAGAGCTGTGAAAAGTGCAAGCATCTAGGTGTAGTTCCTTCACTTAAAAAGCAAAATCATACTTTCTACTTCTCTTCCAAACTATCTGAAGCAGCTCATGCAGCAGAGAATATAAGAGTCACTGGCCACATACAGTCTCCCTTTCTCAGCTTTATCTTTTTCCACTTAGCACAATACAATGGAGTCTTTGTTAGAAAGAGGAGAGAAACTGGATGACTTGGTGTCTAAATCAGAGGTTCTTGGAACGCAGTCAAAAGCCTTCTACAAAACCGTAAGTGTATTCTGGCTAGAAGTCTATCTTACGACGTGAACTCATTCTCTGTCCTTCTAGAATGACTGCGGGTTAGTGGGCAGGGAGATTTGAGTCAACATACAGTATTGGAATGTTCTTGTAGTAGTAATTGGAATGTAGTATCGGAATGTTCATCAACTAAGTGATGTGAGCCACTGAAAGCTTTACATGCTTATAGCAGGATATTTAATTCTTGATTCTCGTGCTGGCCCCGAATGTACATCTGCAAAGAGCTCTTGTTGATCTGTAACATTGTATATTTATTTATTTTATTTATTAAAACATTTTTATGCCGCCCCATTCGCCGAAGCCTCGGGGCGGCTTACAACATAGATAAAACAATAAGTTAAAATATCCATATAAAATAATCTTAATTAAAACACACATTATAAAATAAGCCGCCCTGGCCAGATAAAATTCAATTGTATTTAGCATTTAAAATGTTGCTTAAATAAAAAGGTCTTAGCCTGGCGCTGAAAAACAAACACAAATAACAAGTATAAGAACTTGACAACACAGAGGATCTTAATTATGGCAGATACACAAAGCTGAATAACTGTTTTAGGCTCTTCAGAACTTGGAGGGGGCAGATTTGGCTTCATATTAACATTTTTGGGAGCCATTAGAATAGGAGTTTTAACTATTTGCAGTTGCAAAGAAGTCTTGCCTTGAGATTTATCCTTCCTGTGAAATAGAGTGGCTCTTGGTGGGCGGTGAGTCAGTGCTGCTGGCGTGGCACCATGCCTCCTTACACAGATGTATGCATAGTGAATGGGATGCCGTCCATGGTGGGCTTATAGTTTCCTTCTTGCTGGAAGAAAAATGGGGCGTGGAAAGAGACTGCTTGTATTTGCTTCTTTGCTGATATCTGAGCCTTTCTAGTTGCCTGCTTTTTCCAATTAAGGTTGCCATAAATATATAAACATATAAACCTGTAAGAGGGTGATAAATATATGAACTTGTAAGATGTTGGTACGAGACAGGGCTATGTGGCCTGCTTCCATGTAGTTCTGGCTCCTCAAATCGCTTTTGCAGTGTGAGTTGCTTTATGGCTTCTTATGCACAAAGGTAACTTCAGAGGAGGGCGCTGATTTGGTTTGCTACCAATGTAAACTTGGGTGTCTTTCCCTCTCTCCCCTCCCCTCCCCCTTCCTCTTTCTCTGTGGGGTTTGTTTGTTTTTTTAATTACATTTTAGGCCCGCAAGCAGAACTCATGCTGTGAGATCATGTGACCTCCAACAGCTGCGGCCCACCACACTCTGGACTATCAGGCCTTCATTTACATTCAGGACTCCCAGAACAAGGCAGCAAGAAGATGTTCCCCAGAGCCTACAGTGGCGGTTCTTGTTTCCAGGTTTAGAAACCTTGATACATGAAATAGGACATGCTGATGGGGTTCATGACTTGAAAACAATCTCTCTTTTTCCCTTTTCTTGGAAAGAAGGTATTTTGGGTGTCAAGATTCTTGTAGTTTGAGTATGGGGATAGACAATGACATTTTCCCACAAGTACTGAAGGGGCTCTTGCTCTGACATTCTGGTTGATAGCAACTGTGTTGGATTGTTTGGGCTTCTTCACCCCACATCTTTCTGAAATCTGCAAATAGATGTGCATTCTGCCCATATCTATCGTGGTTTGCTCACGTAACACTAAGAAAACCGTTTGGTCATCTGGAGTTTGCAGACCAGTAACAAGACTTGCCAGTTCAGCACTTCATCTAGAGGTGGCAATTTTTCTTGTTTGCTAAAATGTCCCACACTGGTGGTGGAAGCAGTGCAGAAATTCTGTCAATTTCCACCCCATTCAGTGTCATCCAGGGCCCATCTATGGATTGGCATGACTGTGTGGAAGACCCAGGGCAGCCTGAGACCTGCTTTTGCTTTATAATCTAGCAGAAGAGCTCAAAGGGATTCCTAGGGAGAGCTTGGACTTGTGAAATGGCTTGGAATTATTTCCCTTGATTCAAGCTGGGAAATTCTGTCTTGGGACTACATTTGCCAAGGAACTAAGCGGCAGTTTAGAGCTCATTTCCATACCCAGTGCCACTGCCATTTGTCAAAGACAAGTTAAGAAGGCACGATGTGGTAACATCTCCTTGTATCTTACAGCTGCTTAGGGGAGGGCTTATCTATGAGAGTGGTCTGTATCTAGTCAGTGGCTTTTGTTGCTCTTGCTCTGTTCTTCCATATGAAGTGGAAGATCTGCTTGACAGTCCGGTGCCCTCCTCCACTGGCAATGTGTTATCTTATGGCTACTCTCTGGCAGTGCCGTACCATAGTATTAATCAGCAGCCATTGTGGATAGCAACGCGCCCTTGTCCAGAAGCGCCGTCCACTGCTTTGCAGTAGGAACTATGTCAGAGTTTTGTGGAGTGCAACATCGCTTACTTTGGGCAAAAGTGTGTTAGCCGCTGAAATTGTGTGTCTTGGTGTGGTCTTGTGGTTTTGGCTGGGTCTTTGTTCTCCCTGCTTGAGAGTTTGACCCTGCCAGTTACTTTTTTGTGTAAATAGAGACAATGTTGTTACTAATGCTCTTGTCTTTCTGTCAGCAAGGAGCTCTGATGCCCTCTCTATCTGGTGAGGCAAAGCTGCTTTTCCACGGGTGGGGCTCCCTCACATCCTCTCTCCTTACCACAACTGTGGTGGGTGTTTCTGTACACAGGTGAGAAAATGCATCACTTAAAATTGACCTCTGCCTGACAAGGGCCCTGGGAGAAGCAGCTCTGGTAGTCAACAAGATGGAAATGCTGTATCAGTGATCTGGCTCTTAGGTTAGTCGTTTTCGCCCAGGAATACCAACAAATCTCCTCCTAACAGGGAAGGGAAACATTGACCCTTCAGACATTGCTGGACTCTACCTCCGTCGAACCCAATTGTTGATGGATGACCAATTGTCGGGGTAATGGGAGTTGTAGTCCAGCAACATCTAGACGGCCACTAGTTTTCCCACCCCGTTCCAGAAAGCTCCACAGTGACAGCATCAGCAAAGGCCTTTCACACTTGCAGAAGGGCACAAGGAAAATTAGGAGAGCACCCTTCTTTGTTCCATTACTGTGCATCAAGCTATAGCTAAAGGGGTCAGTGCCAGATTACCTAATGGCAATGTAGGGCAGAGCTGAGATTTACTGATGGGCCTTGTGAGCAGAAGTGGAATTTCTGACTTGCATTGTTGCAACTTTTTTTTTTTTTTTTTTTGCTGCTGCCTTTGTCATGTTTAACTGCATCAATTCTGCTAAGCCCTTGAGCAACAAGCAACTATAACATGGCGAACCTCTCTTAATTTATACACACAAACCAAGCTGGAGCTGAAGGAGTAAAGTGAGTTTGATTATGTTTCTTTTACCTTAACTGCCCTTTGCCATGTTGGGTGCAGTCCAAGACTTGGTTGCATTTCCTTGCTTTGGGCACCTGAGCCCTTCTTGGGAAGGGGTTGGGCTGGAAAGCACACCTCAGCCAATCAGACTTGAATCAATATTATGCAGAGGCTGTATTGGCAGAACCAATGCAGCACCCCTCTTGGTGCCAGGAATCACCAGCCTTAATTTTTTTTTCCTCCCATCTCTGGTTCAGATGTACCCAAGAGTATTTGTGTTTTCTGTAAAGTCCATTTCTATTCCTATCAATCAGTTACCTTCGTTGTGGATTATTGCTTTGATCCTTACAGGCTCTCCTGATAAGACAGGGCAGAAAGAAAGCTGCAAGTCAGTTTTGGTACTACTTGCTGCAGAAAGAAACAGTTCTTCACATTTGTCATTCTTTGAATGAAAATGGGCTTCAAAAACTTGCTCTGAATAGTATAGAGAAACCTAATTAGTTAGTCTTTTGAATTCTAGACTCATATGTTCCATCTGTTCATATCCTCTTTCTAATGTGGAAGTTTTACTAAAGATTGTATTTTAATATTGTTTAACATTATGCGTACTGGTTATTGGATTATACCTTTATGGATAAAGTTGTCATTTGATCATTCAAAATGACTGATACTGTCTGTGCAAAAATCTTACTATGAATTATGATCCTCAGGCTGTTAAATGATAGGCTGTTCTTCCTTTACAAGTTGAAGGAAAGGGGACTCTCCCCCTCCCCTCCCTCCCAAGCCAAGATAGTGGTTCAGAGATGGTTTCTTCCAGTGTTCAGGAGATTAAGCAGAGTTCATTATAGCCTAAAGTTGAACAGATCAGGCAGTGACGTCAAGAAATGGGGTAGGTATTGAGGTCTGGTACAGGATAGCACAGCTGAAGCAATAATGCAGCCTGTTACAAGCATGGATCTTCTAGGTGCATAGAAACTTAAGGCACTGCTATTCTGGTTCTTGAAATCTAAATCTGCTGGCACTGGTTGGTTCATGTAAAAATTGCTTACTGCAGACCCATCTCTTGCAGGAATCTCTTGACTTTTGGACTGAAATTATAGCAGATAAGGAAAAGGCAGACACGTTCAGTTCCTACAAGCTGAAATGGCAGGATTGCAGCTTGAGACTGGTAGGCAAATGGTCAAAGACCACCTAATTACTTTGAACAAGTTCAGATCTCCAGGGTCCTGTAAATGGCATCCTAGAGTAATAAAGGATTGGTAGAAAAACTTTCAAAACCACTATATTAACTTGTAAAAATCATGCAGGATGTATGAAATGTCAGATGATTGGAGGAGGCTAATGTTGTCCCTCTCTTTAAAAATTTAAAAGTAAAAAAAAATAAAATCCTGGGTACTGCAGACCAGCCAGTCTCCCAACAATCCCTGGGAAAATTTGGGAGCAGATGATAAAGCAGTCAGTCTGGAAGCACCTTGAAAACAAGACATGATTACTAAAAGCCAACATGGATTTGTCAAGAACAAATCCTGCCAGACTAACCTGGTCCTGTTTTCCCATCAGGGAGCCTTCCTTGCAGACTGTGGGCACACTGTAGACATAATATATCTTACCTTCTCGTGGTGTGTGCAAAGTAGGACAACCCTACAGTTACTGCTATTGGGCAAACAAGGCAAGAGAACATGCTCAGTGGTAGAACTGCAAAAGGTGGGAAATTGCCCAGAACTAACAACATCTTTACTCGTTACAGCAGGACTGGGTGATTTGGGGGAGGCAATTTTATCTCATGGATCTATCCTGTGGATTTATGCAGAAAACTAATTTAAAAACTCTATGCATAATGGCCACAAAGCCCCAAAAATGTCAGGATTTACTTGTTTGCAATGCCTATTGCTTAGAAGATATAATTTTAGCAAGTAAATTTTATTGAAGGGGCAAAAAGTATGTATGGAAGACACAGCCAGTAGAGGAATCCTGAGGGTTATCTACCTGCAGTCTTTATATTACAGGCATGTTATAGTGTAGTAACTGATCTTCCCACCCATTCAGGTGCTTAAAAAGACACTCTTAAAGGGGTTCGGTTTAGAAGCTCAGACTTATTACACTGCATTTATATCCTGCCCTTTTCTCCTCTTGCAAGAAACTGAACATAGCTTACACAGATCTCCCTACTCCATTGTTATCCTCACAACAGCCACCCTGTCAGGTAGGTGAGGCGCACAAAGTGATCGTCATACCTGAGTGGAGAGTACAACCAGGTCCCCAGTCTTGGCACTCTCCGTACCGTGCCATGCTGGCTCTCAAGAGGACAGTGGTCAAGCAAAGAGTGGTCAAGAATGTCCCTTTTTTGTATATTTTTTTATTTGCAGTTTCCCAAGACAAAAACAAAGTCGGAATCATTTTTTACACTTACAAGGCTCAGAAAGAAAAGACAATGAAATGGCAAGAAAAAGAAAAGGCGAGTTAAGTCAGAAAGAGGAAAAGATCCACCAGCATTCATGGGACAGACTAACAGCTCAGCTTTGCTTTTAGTTCTCATAGATATAGATATAGATATATATTTTCTCTTTAAAGGTCATGCAAAAGAAAATACAACCCCCCTCCCCCAATCCAAAAATACCCCCAGCAACGCACTTAGTTCCATAGTAAACAAGGTGAACACCAAAGGGGAGGCAGCCCCGGTACATTAATGTTTAATAATGAAACACCGGTTTCAACATGCGGCTTGTAATTTTTTTTTTCATATACATGGATGTAGAGACACTTCTCAAGTTTTTCTTCCACAGAAACCATACAAGCATATTATATTATGCCCCCATATATGAATTCTCACTCTCCCTGCATGTTTAATTGGATACCCACCTCCCCTGTTTCCAACCCCTCCCCAGAAAAGAAATGCAGAAATAAAGGTGCTTGGAAAGGCAAGTCAGCCAGAATGTGTTGGCTCTAAACATGATCTCCTCCCTGGTATGTACTGGATGTTTCTGTCTTGGAAGCGCTACCTCCTTGGGTTGGAGTGCAGAGGGTGGGGAGTGCATATGAGCCATCATAGCTGTTGGTTAGATGCATATGTTTGGAAGAGAGAAATGTTTCTGCCCGAACCCCAGCAGTCTGCATTCAGTTCTCCTTGGCATCCCCTTCCTTGCACAGAGAGGGCACAGTTGGGTTGGGCAGGGGAACAAGACAAGGAAACATCCTCTGCTAAGCCTTACTGAGAAAGAGGAGCATTATTTAACACTTCCTGCACCTGCGAGCTCCTCTCAACTCTTCCCCAGCGGCAACAGTGGTGCAGTGCAAAGTCCAGTCCTGGGCAGGAGCAAGAGAGCTAGTCTCAATATAAAGTGCTTTCAATGCTGTGTCAGTGCTGGTCAAAGCCCCCCTCCCCACCAGTGCCCACTCCCTCCCCCCATCCCACCCCTGCTCAGTCATTCTGTCTTGGTCCAATTGCCCTTACATTCATTAGCCATACGAAATGCTGCATGAGGTGATGGCCTTGTAGGAGGCCCTGGACAACGGCTGCACTCGAATGCCATGCAGCCCCTCTGTGTTTGACAGAATCCCCCAGTTAAGTCACAAAAGCAGGACAGGTTTTCCTCTAATCCTCTAAGGAGTTTATCTCTCCCTCATACTGCTCAATAATGGAATGGATGGATGGATCAGCCCAGTCTTGCTTCAGTAATTCAGTCTCATTCTATAGACATGCTGGAAGACCCCTTATTCTCTCCTCAACTGCACAAGGCTGCCTGGACCCTTGATAATAATAGGTCTGTTAATCTTAAAGCAGTTTGTCAGAGCTGGGGTAGCAGTTCTAGATGAGTGACGAAACTATAAAGTGCAAATACATTTCATTATACACCTGATTTGCGTGAACGTTGTCTAAGCACTGAAGACGTGGCCCGGCCACAAATCTGCTTTGCATGCTTCACTTCCTGTGATCAAGTGAAGGTGTCGGTGCCTTCAGGCAGGATGCCAAAGGCCAGAAAAGAACATGCACCACTTCCTTCAATTCACAGTCCCTTCAAGGAATTCAACAAAATTTTGCTTCTGGGATGTGATAGACTGTTTGTGTGTCACCCACCTAGAGACATTAATTTTTTTAGGAATACCAGAAAAGAGGCATGCAGTGGGGGGGGGGGGGCTGTCCTCTTTGCAAATGACCGAGAAAAAGTTGCCCAACATAGCTCTGTTCCTTTTCTTTTTTTGGGTACAGGTTAGCTATGGACTAAACTTATCAGTCAAAGAATTAAGTCTTGGACTAACAAAAGGGAGATATACTCTGCAGCATTTATATCAGTGAAACAGGGACGATAAGAATAACGTGCTAGAGATGAAGCTGACCGTGTGGTACCCTGGCTTGTTTTATGAAGGGATGCTAAGAACCCTCACAGGTGATAGCAAAGCAGGTTGTACGAAAACTTGTACTTTCTACTTTTGCATACCAGCAATGCTCAAGCAGTGTAACACTAAAAAAATGGAATTACAAAACACACCAGCATGGGGAACTGGGATACAAATATAACAAACACAACTGAGCAAGGCAGAAGTGGCTTTAGTCTCAGCCCCCTGGAACATGCACAAGGAAGATCCATGGCCATGCCACAAGCGCTGTTTCCTGGCAGATGTATTTTGCACAGCACTGCCCTAGGTCTGCTAGCATTTCAAACCCTGACATCTCTCCCAGAGGCAAACTTGCCTTTCCAGTAGAAAAAAAGAAAGCTTCAGGTTTTTGTCCTTAGAAAACGAGCATGCCAATTTAGTCCAACGAGTTTTACTTCCAGTAGCACACCGCTCGTTGGACAAAATGGGAAGAAACCCACACACTATAATACAGAGCAGCCAGCTGGGTTTTACATGATAAAGGATTTACAGTCTGTGCTGGTTTCCTCTGCCACTGAACATGTCTGGGCGACATGAATGAGGGTTTCTAATGCAGAGGGTTCGTTTCATTCAGAGCTAAGCAGCATGTACAGCATATCCTTCCTCACAGATGCTGCTGTGTTTTCTCACAGCAGCAGTACGGTACGCAACAGCTCACCTGTGCCGCATTGCGTGTCCTGCTACAAACCGAAGATTTACATAACGTTAGTGCACTGTTGACAGAACAAAAGCAAGTCGGGATAAACAGAACGCCACCCCTGGCAGAACCTACAGACTGATTCTGTGGACCAGTCCAGTTCCTCCCTACGCACATCACACATCACTTGGCCTATTCTGTGCTCCGCAGCAGGCACAGCTTGCTCAGCAAACACAACAGGTGTGTGAGAGGTCTTTCTCATTGGCAGTGTAGGCCAGGCAAGAACATACTTGCTGGTTTATTTTGCAACATACCAAAGAAAAACTTGATTTTCTCACCATAGGATTATATGCTTCTTTTCCTCCCCTTTTTAGCCACAAGTAAATAATAGACTGGCAAAGAAGCTAGATATAGGCTGGACAGAGTGTGAGCAGTGTGGAATTTTCAGATTGTAATTGTAATCTCCAATTAGCCCCTAATATATTAATTAAAACCTCTATGCAAGATTGTGTGTGGTTACCGACTTTATATGTACAGAAGCAAGGTTAGTAAAGAAGCTGATTGCCTGTTTGCCTTCTATTAATAAGAATTATCAGGCATGACTAGAGCCGAGGCATCTGTGCTTTTAATAGCTGCAGAAAAGGGAATGG